GGTGACACTGCTCCCTAGGATCATTGCATCTCAATTTATTTTCTGTGTGTCCTTCCTCGAGAACAATGGGTCACTCTCTTGTTTTAGGTATAAGCACAGAGACTCAGAAAATGGCATGTATACTACCTTCTAGAAGGAAGAAACTCCAAGACAGAAAGTCCCAGCTGTACAAACAGGGGCGGTGCCTCTGGTAGGGCAGACAGTACTAACTTCCATTTCCAGTTATTCTGGGATGACTGGCGAGCACCTCCCCAGGATTGTAGCCCAGCAAATTTCAGAGCCCTGTGAGGTGTGAATTCTCACACTTGTTGAGTAAAACAGCTAAGGACGTGTGGTGTTGGGGCTTCATCCCAGGCCAAAGACTCCACAGCCAGAATTTTTAACCTCTTTACTGCCCTGGTGCAATATGAGAGAAAAAATATGGGTGAGAGAAAAAATGGACCTGTAGGGTGCCCTTTACAAGATAAAATTTCTCAAGCAAAATGTGTTTAAAAGAGTCCAGAAAATTCATTGCTGATCTGCCATCATACATTTATTAAGCACAGGCTCTGCTAGGATTCTTTTTAGATGTTTGGCATGAATGACTTCATATAAATTCTCACAAGAGCCTTATGAGGCAGGCACTATTATCCCCATTTACCAAAGTTTGATAACTTATCCAAGGTCACACAGCTAATAAGTAGTCATGCTGGGATTCAGATTCAGCCTGACTCAAAAGCCTTTTTCTGAAATTTGACTTCTGTATCTTCAGTGTTCACCTAATATAAACTATGATATGATATTGTTTGGGGTGTTGTGAGATATAGAAAAATAAAGAGAGAGAGAGAGAGAAACAAGTTTGGAACATATCTAGATAGCTTCCAAACTTCTTGAATCAAAATGTGCAGAATTAGGGGCTGGGATTGTAGCTCAGCAATAGAGTGCTCACCTCGCACATGCAAGATCCTGGGTTCGATCCTCTGCTCCACATTAAAAAAAAAATAAGTGAAATAAAGGTACTGTGTCCAATTACAACTAAAAAATAATATTTAAAAAATGTGCAAAATTAAACATCTATCTACATATAATATATATATGTGTGTGTGTGTCTGAATATATATCCTTATATATCTATATATCTTTCAAACTTCTCAAATTAAAATGTATTTTATTGAAACCTGCATAAATATCACTTTATGAAGTTTTGTAAATATTATTATAAGACAAAAAGCCATAAGGTGGCCCAAAGAACCAGGGAAGGACTAACACTTACACAGCTCCCCATGAACCTGGCTCTTGCAATGTTTTTCCATGTTAAGCCTCAACCCTTGAAAAGTGGACTCTAAACCCCTTTTACTGATGAGGAAATGGTGGCCTGCAGGTTAATGACCCAGGTTTCCATGGTCGCTAAGGGACAGAACCACATTCAAAGCACAATTCCTAGAGGCTCCAAGCCCAGACTTTCATAACCATCATTATTGGCATCTAATTTCTTGCGCCGTCACTGTTTCCTGAGTGTCCGTGCAAACGATGTTAAAAATCAAACAAAACACAACAAGGCCTGTAGCTTTGCCTCCACAGGCTTGAAGATGGAAGGCAAGAGGAGTCTCCCCGCCTCAGGAAGCACTTGACCAGGTGCTAGTCTCCAGCGGGTCCATTCTGGACCTGACTCAAATTCCCACTCCGTGTGGAAGTTCTGCTCAGTGGCTTCAGGTTTCAAATTAAATCTCCTGCTGGGCAAGCTGGCCTGAGGCCCCAGAGCCAGCTGCCTGCCCTTCCAACAATGGACAATGGGGTGGAATGCAGCCCTAGACATCCAGAGAAGTGCTTTCCCAGCTCCCCTGAAGGAGCCACAGCACACCCTGGCCAGGACACTGGCATCCCTCATGAATGCGACCATTGTTGAGGCAGCCGCAGATGCACAGAGGGGAAGATTCCAGGCAGCTCTCTCTCTGTGTCGCTCATTTTTAAATCATCACATCACATGGTTCCTTGGCTCCAACACCACATATCCTGCTGTTACAAGGAACAAGACTGTGTTCTCTTCTCCAGTGGATTAGGAAGGACGACCAACATGACTAACAGTGGTTCCTACAAGGAGCCAGGGGCCAGTGACCTCAGTCTGCCCTGCTGCTGGCAGTACCTCTGACATAGACTGCTACCTGCCATTATCGCCAAGCAAAAAAGATCTAAGTCTCAGCAGCATGTCCATTCCTAGCACATGGATCAGCACCTGTCCACTGCACCCCCCAAGCCAAAGGTCACGGACTAACCTTTAACCTTGGATTAGCAAACTAGACAAGTTCAAAGGGTCCTTTTCCCATCTCTCAGCTCCTATAGTTCTATGATATTTGGATCATGGGACAATCTTGCTAAAACAGGAAGGGGATGAGGGCCAGGAATGTCATTTTATATCTGCCAGAATCAGAAAGTCCTGGTTTGGCCCTGGCTCCAACCCAGCCATTGCTTGGCCAGGGGATCTCGGACAAGCCTGCACTTGGCTGCTACAAACTCACACAGCTTCTTTGTACAAAGAGGAAAAGGTGCCCCTGAGTGGGGAAGCAGCCCTGCCAGCTCTGGTTGGCAGGTGTGACCCCAGCCCTCAGTGGGTGCCCTCAGGAGGGCATAACCTGCACAGCCAGTTGCAGAGCCTGTGTGTTTCCATGTATCAGTGAAGTGGGACTGATAGCCAGTGTCCCACCACATTCTCTGCCCTGAGGAGACTAGCAGGACCCCCAGAACAGTTAGTGAGTTAGTCTGTTAGTAGGTTTCTGGTTCAGGTCTGCCTTCCTTCTGGAGCCCTCCAAGATACTTCCAATGAAAAGCAAAGACCCCCACACACTCAGTTCTGAGATTCCACCCTCTCTAGAATTTGATGGAAAAGCCGGGTGGGCCGCTTAGATGCACAGCCTGTACAGTCTCCCAGAGCCCTGTGCTCAGAAGGGCCTTGTGTTGGGTTTAATGCTGTGGTATCACTGTGTTAAAATTCCTTAATTTCTGAGCAAGGGACCCTGCACTTTCACTCTTCACTGAGCTCTGCAAATTATGTAGCTGGCCCTGCCAGCAAACCTTCAGAGACACCACATAGCTTTCCACACCCCACAAAAGTTTTGGATAAGGAAAATGGGATATGTCACCCCTCTGCCTAAGCACAAAGACCTTTGACATAACTGGAATGTGAGAGGGTGGTGGCCTGGTAGAGCATGTGCTTCAGCTGGTCAACTAAGCTGGATAAAATTCTGCCTCCTGCAAGGCTTCAGACAAAACCCTCACCCATCTGAGCCCAGGTCTCCTTACCTCTAAGGTGGCCCACTCACGCTTACTCTTCCCTGTGAGTGATGAAAAAAGTCTAGAAAAGACCTGGCACAGGGCAGGTGTTCAAAAAAATTGTCAGATCCCCTCCCAGGTTGTTTCAGGAATAGATACCTCAAGATGGATAGGCCCTTGTGTTCCAAAAGGCAGTGAGATGATTGGTGGCCCTGGAGAATCAGGAGCCCATGATTCTCCGTTAACCAAGACCTCCTCCAGACCATGTCTATTAGGACACTTGGGTTGCCAGGGCAGAAATCCAACTCATATTAACTTAGCCAAAGGGGAAGTTTGTTAGTTAATGAGGCTGGGAAGTACAGGAAACAGGCACTGCTGCATCTGAGGATGTCATTCCCTTTCTGTTTCTCCTTCTCTCTCCCTCCTGCCCTCTCCACCCCTTTATGTTGTGGACAAGATGGCTACCAACAGCCCTAGATGCACAGTTTCTTGAGCCCAGTGGGGAGCACATATCTCTCTCATTATACTAGCCAAGGGAGAGACTCATGGATACTGTGTGGATAATATCTCCACTCCTAAACCAATCACAACTGCCAGAGTGACAGGGCAGGTGCCCACAACGGTGACGGAGGCTGGACCACGGGATTCCAGTCTCATGACTCTGTGAGATCACATAAATGGGGGAAGGGGCATTCCCCAAAGGAAAGCTGATGTCAGGCAGATAAATGCAACATATGCTCTATGTGGTTTACCATCGCTGCCTCTAGGAGTCAAAGGACATGACAGGAGGGGAGACCAGCAGGGGAGGTTCGGGAACTAGCACTTAAACCAGCGTTTGCTGAAGGACGGGAAATACAGGCACACGTGCTGCCTCACAGAGGAAAGGGAGGCAAGGAACTGAGAAAACTCTGGATGTGCTCAAGGTCACTAGCTGCATAACTGCAATTAGCCTCACATCTTTAAATTTTTAATAGCAATATGTATATTTTTATAGTTATTTTCTACTTCTGCAAGCAACACTGGTTTTCCAGCTTAGTGCTAATAAAAGTCTCTTTTTAAAAATTAACTTTAAGTAAAAACAAAGTAGGTCTGTTGAAAGAAAAATAATAAATAATAATGATATCGACATAGTAACTGTGGATACATTAGTACATGTATTAAACCAAAGGCTGAAGTATGGGACACGGCTCGGCATATAAACAGGACTTTTTTCTCCCCAAAGAGCACTAAAACCCCAAAACTATGTTCTTATTTGTTCTCATAATATACCACTGACAAATGTATGTACCTCATTGTGTGGATGGTAGGGATCCAAATGAATCTGTAGTAAGATCCTAGAATTCATAGCTTCTGGCAGGCAAAACCTATTCCCTAGATAGACTTGTGTCTCGTGACAAAGCAGAGAACCAACACTCCAGGACATTGGCCCACTGTATTAGTCCCTATTTCAGAGACAGACACACAAAGAAGGGGTTGATATGAAAATTGCTTTTCACAAAATTGGCCAAGACTATTGTCCTTGAGAACAGAAGGGTCTATTCTTCAATGGTCACCAAAGCCAGCTGGCCCCGCAGAGTACCAGCTCTCTCTCCAGGGCCAGAGCCCCCCCTCTGATTTCCACACCACCCACGTGAAACGTGGCAGCTGGTCTCTTGCTCAGATGACGGCTTGGTCCTCCAGTTAGCTACTCATTTCAGGCAGAGAAAATTTAAATGACCCTATTATCCACTCACCTTTCGAATTATTTTCTCCAGGCCAAAGAGAGAAGTCATCAGGGTTTCGATGTGGATCGAGATGCCAAAACGCTGTACAAAGCCTGCAAAGGAATGGGTATGAAAATACATTTTTGTCTGCTAATTTATTTCAGAAATTGATTAAACTCAATCTCATAATCAACTTTCCCACGATGATGAGAAAATGACCTACTTATCTTATGTGTTCCAAGTTAATTCAAGTTGATCATTTCTAATGATCTCTTTATTCAAATTCCCAAAGATATAATCAGATCCTATAACTTTTCAGGATTCTATATAATGGGCAGAAGGTGGATATTGGGACAGTTACTTTCAGCTTGAGGTGAGAGAAGGTCCATAAGAAGTGTAGTTCTTGCAGTCCTAATGTCATCTAAACCCCTCTGACTCCTTTCGTGGAGGTGGTGGGGAAATCAGGTCTAATGAGAGCTGGATTAGGGATGTGGGAAGTGCACAGAGAAATGGATTGAGTGAATACAAAGCTGTAGCCACAGTTGAGAATCCCCAGGGTCAAAACTGGAGAAGCTGTTTACACGGTGCAGGAGTGAGGTAAATCCAGGACCAAGGGGGGTGAAGGAGCGAGCACCCAGGTCCAAAGCCACAGAGGAAAGCTTGGGGTCCAAGGAGGCCACTGGTGTAACAAGGTTTGGGTCCAGGAGTCTGGAAGAAGAGAAATCCAGAGCACAGAAAGAAGGATTTGCCTTGAACCAGGAGGAGGAGGGAAGGAGCTGAGATTGACAGCTGGAGGAGATACATTCCACAGTGTTGTCAGGGCAAAAATTAAAGGTGCTCATGCATGAAACGGGACACTGCTCAGGCAAGGTCATCTACCAAAGAGATGGGTTTGACAATGGAGTGTGGGCCTTGAGTCACGGTTTGGAACACCCCTTGAGTAGCAAAGAGGTGGAGATGACCAGGAAGACTGCTCTCAGGGCCCCATTGAGTAGGGAAACCATGTCTTCTCATGGCTTCAGCCCACACAGCTGTGGGGTCTTCTCCTGCAGCCTGAGAGAAGAAGACAGGAGAAACGGATAGGAGAGAAGGGTCAAGGGCAGGGTTAATTAAATTTCCTAGATCATCTTTTTTACATTTAATGGGAAATTTAAAAATTTTTAGACACTTTACACACAAAATCTCATTAAGTTATCCTCATAAAAAAAATCCATTTTTCAGAGGAGGAATGAAGGCCCTGACTAGTTACATAACAAACCCCAAGTCACTGAGCCAGTTAGTGGCGAACAGTGGGGTCGGTGCCATTCCTATCATTCACTCCAGATGTCACCAACTCAGAGACATTATAGTTAGTCCATCTCAGCCACACCACTGTGCTACCAGCAGATAAGGACGGCCTGTGAAGTCCTTGCTCGGGGCTGTTAACAACTGACAGGAGCCATTTGAGTCCACAGGTATTTTATTTTATTTTTCTTAATGCAATATAATTCACATGCCCTAAAATTCACCCTCTTGCAACATATAATTCAGTGGGTTTTAGTATATTTAGAGTTGTGCAACCATCACCACTAATTCCAGAACATATCCATCACCCCCAAAAGAAAGGCCAAGCCCATTAGCATCCCTCCCTTCAGCCCCAGGCACTCACGGATACCCCACCTGTCTCTAAAGATTTGCCAGCTCTGCAACTTCACACAAACTGAATCATACAATACGTGGCCTTTGGTCTGGTTTCTTTTACTTGGCATAATGCTTTTGCAAAAACAAGTGGTAGATTTATACTTAGAAGGAAATGAATGGAGATTTGCTTGCCTAGGAATGGCTGTCGTGGTAGAATAAATATGGCCACAAATTTTTATGTGTGTGTCTGCAGAGGGAAAAATATCAGGATCCATGATGGAAGTTCTAAGTGGATATATTTTGCTTAAGTATGAGAAATAGTCTGCCTTGCCCAAGAAATGTTGAGAAGTCCTGAGGAGCTGGGGGTTGGGGAAGATCTGGTAGGAAAGTGGTAGAGGGATTTCTACATGGTATATATTCTTGAATAAATCAGAAAGAGATGGAAGAGAGAAGAGAAGCGGGGAGAGAGAGAAAGGCAAAGGAAGGAGAAGAGAAAGAGGGAGGAGGAGAGAGGGGAAGGGGAGGGATGGACAGAGGAAGGGAGAGAAGGCGCACATTCTCAGCCCACAGGCAAAGTTCCTATTAGGAGGACAGCTGTGGGAAGCAGATTTTGCATGGAAGCCACAGGATGTTTATGACCCTGAGTTTTGCTGAGCGGTGGGATTCTTAGGTGCTTTCCAGACAGGGGAAGCCTCCTGCTGCCCTGGGTGAGGTCCTGACACCTGGCCTGGGGATGGAGACTAACTGGGTGTGAGAATAGCCCAGTCCCCACTCTCTTACCTGCCATGAAAGTGCAGCTTAGTACACACAGAGTGAGCACCTACTGAATGCAAAGTTTCACAGTGTTCTCTTCCCTATTGGGGATGTAGCCACAGGGTGGGACCAATGTGGAACTGGTTACTGTGTGGAGCACCATTTCCATGCCCAGTCCTGAGCTGGATGTCACTTACCCGTCACCATGTTCAGAACCCCCATAATCTGTACAACTGGTATTATTGGAACTACTTCATAGATGAGAACGCAGGGCTTAGCGGTTATGTATCTTGCCTAAGATCATCAAGTTATGAAAACCAGAGTTGCCTCAGAGGGCTCTGATTTGGTTGAAGGTTAGACTGTCCCACCCTCTATTGATAAGTACAAGTGGAAGCAACGTTATATTGTTGGCCATGTCTGTCTGCAAGACCATGTGGCCCTCTCATGGATATACCAGCCCTTCCAGAGTGGCATTTAAATGAATAGTAGTGTCATTTAAAATTTTTGAGAAGCAAATTTTAGAAGAAAAACTGCAGATAAAATGCATTATTTTATGTTATTTTAACCTCATTTTATATCAAAAACATCAACTTCCTTAGGTGAATCAACCTAAAAAGTGTTAACAAGGTATTCTACATGCTGCTTTTTTTTTTAATATTAATTCTCCAGAATCCAGCATGCACTTTATGCTTACAGAAGGTTTAGACTCAGACAAGCCGCATTCCCAGTGCTCAATAGCCACAGGTGACCAGTGGCTATGCTACTGGACAGAGGTCCCAAGTACCACCAAGATTACATGCACTCCTCACCCCTTACCCACCTATGTGAGTCAAAATAATAATTTAGAATGCCATAAAATTAGATTTTATTTCTCCAATTGACACAGAATTTACAGATTTCATTTTTTGGCATCTCTGCTTCCCTGAAGTTTTGTGCGTGTGGTTAAGGTCAGAGATAACCCCCAAGCAATCCCCACCTTCACAGCGCCACCATTACTTCTGTCCCAGGGTTATGGTCCTCTGCTGCCCCTGCCCCAGCCCCTAGGGACTGCACTTCTCACCAGATTCTTCCAAGTCCTGCTCTTGTTGGGTCAGCCCAGGAGGGCTCTCCTGACGATGAAGCGTGTGAACCGACAGGCTCCTAGAGGTCAACACGGCCAGAGGTGATCGAGGACACAGCTTTCGAGTTCTCAGGGGCATTCGAGTCATCTGGGGTCTTGGTGGAGTGTGGGAGGAGGCAGAGCTCCCATTTTCATTTCCAGGAGGCTTCCAGGTGATGCCCTGGCTCTGGGTTTAAGGCCAGGTCCTCCTGAGACACACAGGAGTCAAGCAACACCGATCAGCCACATAGGAGCAGAACCAGGCCTAGAACTGAGACACTCTCTGCCCAGCACTTTCCAAATGCCAGGCGTGAACTTCAGCTCCCACTCTGTCACTTACTGGTGCCCTGTGACCTCAGCTTTATCATCCAAAAAATATCATAGCAAATGCCTCCTGGGGTGGAGGTGGCCAGAAGGTAAGTAACAGCACAGTGCGCCACCACCCGCTGACCCTCATGGCCATGCTAGTCGCCTCCTTCTGAATCACATGCTCAGATCCAGTCAGACCAGTCTGAGCACGAGTAGGCCCACCCTGTCCTCCATCTGGAGGGAGCACTGGGTTGATTGGGGTTCTGGAAGATATATCCACCCTGGATGGGTGAAGGTGTCCATATTTGGAAAAGGGGCCTTGGCAGATGTAATTAAGGATCCTAAGAGAGATCATCCCATGACAAGTGTCCTTAAGAAAGATAGAAGATGCACAGGGAAGGTCATGTGAAGATGGAGGCAGATGGAGTGATGTGACTACAAACCAGAGAACAACCAGAGACTGACAGCTACCAGAAGAGGCCAGGGACAGATTCCGCCTCAGTTCCTCCAAAGTCTGACGCTGTTTAGACTTCCAGCCTCCAGAATGGGAGTACATAGGGCTTTTCTGTTTGTTCGTGTGGTGATCTTTTGTTGTTTTGGTTTGGTTTGGGTTTTGTACTGAGATTGCAGCCAGGGCCACTCTACCACTGAGCTACAAGCCCAGTCCTTTTCATTTTCAGACTGGGTCTTGATAAATTTCCGAGGCTGGCCTTGTACTTGCAATCCTCCTGGCTCAGCCTCCCAAGTCTCTTGAATTATAGGCATGCATGCACCACTGTACCTGGAATTAGGTTGTTTGAAGTCACCAGATTTGTGGTGAATGATGTAACCACCTCGGGAAACTAAATAGAGGGGACAAGCGAAAGGCCATGACCTGCTTAAGCAGGCAGGATTCTGCCCCGTTTGTTGCTTTATCTGTCTTCCCTGCACCACCACTTCCAGGAAGAAATCTGGAAGCCCAGTGGTTGAGGAGAGAGACTAGCTCTTGGGCACCAGAAATGGGGCTGCAGCCTCCTGGGCTCAGGAGGGCAGGCTGGGACTGGCATTTGGACAGTGGGAAAGCTGAGCTCTGCCACTGGCTCAGACTATTTATCTGGCACACAGTCCCCAGGGGCCTTCAAACCCCATACCCTCCGTCCTGTCGAAACAAAAACCTCACTCTGTATCTTCCCAGAAAAATGCTGGGAAAGCAAACCACAGAGAACCTCGGGCGCTTCCTGAGGCTGATTATCACCCGGCTCTGACCTCCACTGTGTCATTACCCCTGCATGTCCAATGCTCGGTAGGACTGAGGGTCCATATTTTCTCAGTTTTTAAAAAGTCTTTCCCAGAACCACTGGGGACTA